AGTTCCCAAGATATATCCCAACAGGCGACAGTGGGTGGAGGGCACAAATTTTGGTATTCAGCTGACCATTTTTGACATATGTAGTCTAAAAGATGGTTCCTCTTGGTATCTTTGCTGCGTTTAGACTGCAAATGTGAGCGAAGGCTCTCAAGTTCTCATCTTTTTATAAACATTTTAAGATCAGGGTGCCATTTTTTCCGTCACTGTTTTGGTTGGAAGAATGCTAGGTTTTGAGCCATGGCCTCTTGATCGTACCCCTAATTAATTTAATGCTGACTGACCTTTTGTACTAATCAAGCTACCTCCATATTCTCTTAGAACAAAACTACAACATTTTGTACATGACCTTTATTTGTAAAAGTTGTCATTTTTTGGCCAAATTTGCAAATGTTGTCATTATTTTCCAATAAATGACACTTAGTGGGATTGATGTAGATTCATGTTTTACTGTGATGAACTTTCTTAGTGGGAAACTTCAATATCAAAGTTTGCATTAAGATCTGTTTAATCCAAGGCTACCCCTTGAATTTTTCCTTACAATTCTGGTTCCCAGTCTCTCTTGAGTCGTAAGTCCACAAAGGTTAAATGATTCTTTTGGAAAACTAACAAAAGTTGTCCAGAACAAAGTAGTAACAAGAGGTGATGCAGACTTCAATGAAGTAAAGCCATGCTCGTCTCCAATAAGGATTTATGTGCAGAACTACTGCGATTGCCATCACTGCAGCAACATGAGTTACCACAGCTCCAGTAAAAAACACTCATGTCAATCAAACCATTGTTTTTCCTATTATAATTGGACACATTGGTCAAAACTAATGGTGATTCAATTTTAGGGCAGTTGATCTGCAGTGGAGCTCCACAGAGGAGAGGATTTTCTTCATAGCTACTTTCATCAAAGGTTCCAAATTGAGCTTTTTGATTAGGGGTTGGTACTGATAAGTTGTTGTATGCAACAGAAAACACAGTTAAGGTGTTTAGCTCAATCAATTGAGGGGGGATTCTCCCATTCAAATTGTTATAGGAAAGGTCCAAACTTTCAATCTGCTTCAAGTTTGAAAATGTAGAGGGAATTGGTCTTGTTAGCTTATTGTGTGACAAATTAGCACATGGATCTCATTCAAGTATCCAATTTCAAGTGGGATCCTTCTCGTGAGATGGTTGCAAGATAAATCAATACCAGACATGTAACAAAGGATGCTTCCATTGTAAACATATGACATGCTCTTTGTTGTAAACTCTACCCAATTTTCCAAATTTTCCACTTCAATCTCATTTCCATATGTCACAAAGTAGTTGAAATTCTCTATTAGCTTTTTCTTCCATATGTTTGACAGTGAATTCATCACTTCTGCTCCGCCTCCAATCATCCAATAAGAAGTTTGATTCGAAGAAACTAATGCCTCAAATGTTAAATTACTAAGATAGAAAGGTATAGAACCAAAAAGATTATTTTGAGAAAGATCCAGCATTTTTAATCTGTTCAATTGACATAGTTGAATAGGAAATTTACCTTCAAAATGGTTAGCTTTCAACAAAAGAATGCTCAATGAAGGTAGGTTGCCAATCCAACCAGGAATTATACTAGTTAGATTGTTCCTTGTAAGGTCTAGTGTCTCCAGAGAAGAGCAACCAGAGAATGCTTTTGTTAATGGCCCGGTAAATCTATTATTGCTCAAATGAACATATGTTATTGTAATTGAATTAAAGCATTTTGGGATAAAGCCAGACAGATAGTTGTCTGAGAGATCAAGAACTGCAAGGCTAGCAAGGCCACAAAGTTTTCTCGAAATAGGACCCTCAAAATGATTTTTGAACAAAAACAACCCATACAAGGATGACATATTTCCCATCCATCTTGGAAGCTTGCCTAAGATTTGGTTGTTGCTTAGGTCTATAATCCATGGTGAAAAAGAGTTGATAGATGAAAACTCAAGTATCTCTCCAGCAAAGTTATTATCGCCTAGTCGTAAGACAAGTAAATATCTTAACTTGAAAAGAAGAGGAAATATTTGTCCCTGCAAATTATTGCCCGACAATATGAGAAATCGCAAGGGGCAACCTAGAACTAG